TAGAGTTTTGGTGATCCTCTGAAAACCTTTTATCAAGTTTCTTTCAACAATTTCAAGCCGTTGTACATTATTTATAAGTTTTGCCTCTTTGAAGAAAAAAAAAAATTACATACCGGGCTGTGATGTAAATTAGCATGTGTGAAACAGAAATGCACAGCTGTCGTGTTTGTAATTACACGATCCCCAGAGGAAATAACAGCTACGATATGTTTCGGCATGTCAGAATGGCAATTGGAGCATAGAATTGGAATTTCATTCTGATGTATACACTAGGATATATTGAAAGTTATGGACAGAATGTCGAAATTTTGGGCACATGTATATCTTGCAATAAATGTGGAACAATTGAGACTATGATCTACAATTTTCATTTTTAGCTTGTTTTGCTACTTATACTAATATAACTTTAAAGTCAGGAGGAACACTCTTACGTTGATCAAGCAGATTGAGGACAAATCAGCAATCCATATGAATGTTTTGAAAGTTTTAAACTTTGAAACTCATTCGAACAGCACATAGAGAATAGTCTCTTTCTCTAAGCTTGTCCACTGTCCCACAGACTGCCAAGTCTCATTGAGGCATAGCAGACAAATTGAGTGGTTTTAATAAAATGCAAACATCCTCTCCAATCACATTCAATAGATTCAATTCTCAGTCCCACATGTGAAAGTTTTATGTCATCCTCTTTCCTTTCATTATCTGTCTCGCCCCGCAAGTAATTGGATGTTGCTGGCATTTCCAAGCCATTTCTATCACTATAATGACTCATATTTCCTCAATGAAATGGGATACATTCTCCTATTAGGATTAGGATTAGGACAAAAAGTGACAAAGAATAGGCCTTTTTGTGAAATCTGAAATGTTAGATTTGTAGAATCTATGGAAAATCATTAAGTTAACATTAATTCTATGGTTTATGGAAATTTGAATTTCGTACTAATGGATTTTATATTTGACTAGATACTGTAGCGGTAGGCTCCATGGAACAATTCACTGATTAAGTGTGCTTTAATTAATTAGTGGTTTAGGCAGCTGCCAAATTCATATCATATTAAAGACAATGAAAATTGATTTTCCAAGCAAACATTGGTCAGGTCATGTTTTTTGAATTTCCAGAAAACTCATGAGTAGATTTGTTTCAACACGATTCCTGTTTTAAAAAAAATCATACAAATTAAATCACGACCATTAACCTTGCCGAGAAACCCACAAATATACAGCCAGCTGTTTGAGAAATATCATGAATTTCTATTCTTTTGAAGAAGTGAAAGTAAAACTCCATCGGTTGAAATTCTGAGAAGAACAGCTGGTCTGATTTTGTTCTGCCGCGTTAGAGAAGAGTCTAATGAAATACAGCTCCCACAAATCAGTCAGCTTTGTGTACCGCAAGTCCCTTCAGAGAATTTACTTGTCCATGCCACTTAACTCTGATTCTACTAACAGCACTGTTCAAGCATGAGAGGGCAGCAAACCATCAGCCTATCCCCCCTTTAACAGATCTTCTCTTTCCTCTCCAGTAGACATTCTTTTTCCTTCCTTTTTGAGTCTGAGATATCTGAAACTTTCTGATATCGTACACTAAACTGTCAATCCATGTTAGAAGCTGGTGAGCTATGGCATTATATTGATAATGAAACAACCGATAGCCGTATCATTTGGAGCATGACCTACATGTACATTAAATGTACAGTGATGAACACATACATTAACTGGCAGTATGCCTCAAGATAAAATGAATGCGAACATTACAATTCTTACATTTTATTTGTAATTTATACACCAAATGTGGCCCAATTTAGATCTGAAAATGACACAAAAAGTACAAAAATAATAACATTTCAGAGTCTTATACCTCATATACAAAAAGGAAAGATATTATTCATTTCCCGGGAATAAAAAATGAAAGCTTTGAGAAATCAGAAATTCAGGAAGAAGAAATGAATTTCAGAAAGGGTTATCAGTGGTAAAAACTCTGTAGTAATTTATTTATAATTATATAGGATTCTAGATTGGAACCAAAGCATGATTGCAAACTCTTATGGGGCATTGCAAGAAAGTTGCGATTGATTGCAAGTTGCAATTGATATTTGCAATCGATGGTAACTCAACTTTTTTGCAACGCCCCACTAGTCTCCTAAATTTCCTAGGATTTTGGTAGGTTTAAAGTTTTAACAATTAAATTAAGTTAAAATCCACATGCATAATTGCCTGTTGTTATAATGGATGAATAAATGACTAAAGGCTTCCAAGAATTACCACAAATATCAGAATAATCCATAAACTATTGTATTTCAGTTTGTGGAATCCTGGTTAAAAACAAGGTTTAGGTGAACAAGAGAATTTATACCAAATTCATCACAGTATTGTGCAAGCAGTGAAGTCAGGATAGATGTATACTGCCATCTATGGCCAATACATTACAGTTTTATACCTTTTCTACTTTTTTTTAATGCTGAAAATAATGTTTGACAAAATCACACAGCACATGTCCCAGTAGACCCACAAGAAAAGGAAAACAAATCTGGTTTGAGTAATCTCCTGACAGTAACTTGAGCAAGGGTTGCTAGAGGCATGCTTCGTTCCTTCGCACGCAAGATATGTGTGGAGTTTATGCCCATTGAGTGAGTATGAGAAAAACCAATGAAAATGGCGCATTTGGCGTTTGACAGAATGAAGCAGTGCAGTGGCTGTGTGAAAGCACACTTGTCACTAGCCCAAAATATAATCCAAAATATAAATGTTCATGTTTCCTCTCCGTAGCCTCTGCTTAGGAATGTTCTCTGCTGGACCAATGTCTGCTAATTATACACCCCAAAACTACTGACAAGGCCTATTTATATTCTCATTTTCATCATATTTAAGGTACAAACTTGCAAGTTGTACTGAAATGTTGGTTGATTTTTCTATTTTATGTGTGTACCTACAGTATGCTCTCTTGCTGAGTCAGTGAGTGTGCGTCAGTTAATTATGTGTGAAGTGCGTCGCCCGTTTAAAGCATGACATGATTTACGTAATGGCATTGTCAGCTTTGCGCTCTTTATTAAGTGACACTATGAACATGACAGACAAAGAAAGCGGACAAAATATACAGTTCCTCAGGTAGACAAAGGAACATCCCTTCACTGCTATTGTGTAAAAAGGTGAATATGCAAGTGACACCTGTTCTACACATGTTTACATAATAGCAGTGAAGGGATGTTCCTTTGTCTACCTAAGGAACTGTATATTTTGTCCGCTTTCTTTGTCAGTCATGTTCGTAGTGTGAGCCTTGAGTGAGCCCTCTCTCAATTAAATTCAGAGATCTCTCTCACTTAAATTTGAAGCCCCTCGAGCGGCTCAACCAAAGGGAGAGCATAAACTAATTGCACAGCGCTCAATGCGGAAAGTTCAGCGCTAGTGTAGTTCCATATCCATTTTTTTTTGCAGTTTAATATCCATTCTTAGCAAAGGAATTTTAGCCCAATTTTTAACTCATTTTAATCATAATCATATATTGCATTTTCCACCTGAATTTGGATCACAATCGACATCTGGAAACCTTCGTTTAGGGCTTCGATGTCGACGTCGTCGCTCAGTACCGTCTCAACACTGTAGTCATGCACCTCAAACTAAAGCTATCCGTACAAAATTATGCAAACTTCTCGTATGGTTTATGGTATCGCGCATAAGAGAAGTCTGCATAATTTTGGACTGATAGCTTCAGTTTGAGGTGCAGGACTACAGCGTAGAGATGGTACTGAGCGACGACGTCGACTTCGAAGCCCTAAACGAAGGTTTCCCGATGTCGGATGTGATCCAAATTCAGGTGGAAAATGCAATATATGATTACGATTTAAATTAGTTAAAAACTGGGCTAAAATTCATTTGCTAAGAATGGATATTAAACTGCTAAAAAAATGGATACGGAACTAAACTACAAACTAGCGCCGAAAGTTCTACATGCTGAATAATCATCCTAGAACTAGACCTAGATTTCTAGATTCTAGAGTAAAGGAGCCCGTTTTCGGCCACTTAAGACAAAATCCTATTTTTAGGACTCTTTACTTCCTATTTATTATCATTTCTTGTTCAAATCATGAAGCAAATATTATTATTATTTAAACAAAAAAAGAATCCCAGAAAAAAATCACGAATTGCCATGACAATATTCATTTCAATTTTCACTGTTTTGGAGCCGGTTATCGGCCGAGCGTTTCAGTTTACGGCCGCATGTACAAAGTCAATAGGAAGCGCTCGCGCGCGCCGTGCGTTTCCGCGCTGATGTACAGCACAAGCGGGCGGAGCAGGTATCCCACGCCTGAGCTCCCTGGTGCTCGCCTGGCCGAAGACAGGCACAGCGGTGATCGGAAGTTGGAATCTGAATTAGACAGAGATATCGTGTGTGCGTCGCGGTGTGCGGCTGCATTGATTTAATACATGCGATGAGATACTTTTGAGCTTGCGACCAGCACAAAATCGGGCTCTAAATCTGAAAAATACTTGAAATAAAGCTCATTTTATGGTACCCATATTTCTTACAGACACGCGTAAGATACTCAATTTTTCAGATTCGGGTAGCGGGACCGGCGATTACATCGCTAAAATGTGATATTTTAGGATATATTTTTCATTGCAAATGTGGTTCTTCAGTGACACTGGCATGGTATGGTATGTGTGGGATATGTGTTACGCTATTATGCGATGTATTTTAGAGTGATTTTACCTTGCATCCAACCAATCGGCCGAAAACGGGAGCTGGCCGATTACGGGCTCCTTTACTCTACTCAAGTTTTTCACTTTAGATCTGAATCAAATGTATGTTATGGTATGGTACTCTTTAATCCAATGATATCTTGCAGTAATCACATTTACATCAAGAGTCAGAAAAATCAACGGGACAGTAATAAATTGAACTTCATAGTTTCCCTTTAAACGTTGATTTGAACCAAGGAGTTACTCCTTGTTTGAACTGACACAGATAGCGATATGTGGGGACACGTTATGTCAAAAACAATACCCACCACTATGTCTGACAATGACTGGTCGATTCTCGGATTTATCCCCGGCATTTTCCGCTCTATTTTTTCCGCCTGCACCGAATCCACTGGTTTCCTTTCACTGTCGGAATCATCTTCGGAGTCACTCTCCAGGAGAAATACTTCTTCCTTGTCATCTTGGCTTTCTAAGTCGCTGTCGTTCACAGGAGACACAACATCGTCTCGGGATTTCGTCTCCTCGTCCGCCATGATTACAATCAATCAAAATTCTAATTCCGCGAAAATGCGCGAGCGATCGAGAGCAAAGATCGGCGCTCGCTGCCCGAGCTAGCAAGCTCGCGAATTTCTAAAAGGTTAAAAAAAATCACCTAATTTATAGGAAATTTAATTGCAGATGAATGCATACCTACATGTATAAAAATAAGATCTACTTTTGTTGATTTTATATGATTTCCTTTGGGTTATGGTTCATTTTTTGTATATCCTTGGTGAGTCAGATTTGACATGCAATGCAAAAAACTTTCGACCAATCAGCGTGTGATTTTTTAGAAAGTTTTGTCAAATACAAGTGCGTCAGGAGGCAGGGGAGGATCCAGGATTTTCCAGGGTGGGGGGTGGGGGGGGGGGCGTGAAATTTACGAAATTACGAGCGCGAAGCCTTTACGGGAACAATTTGAACCTTAAAATGCTCTGTGGTACATTCTGCATTTTTGAATGCGTAAGCTGAACATTATTTTATGTGAATATTTTATTTTAGTTTTGTATATGTTTATATCTCTCTATATTTTTAACTTGTTTGTAAATTGAACATTTTCAACCTGCGAGCTGTTTGTTTGATATGATTTTTCAATAAACCAAACCAAATGACAACAACAAAATATATATATTTCTTAGCTTTTTCCCTGCAATTTTGGATCCGCCCCTGAGAGGTGAAAGGATAAAATGGAGTTACGGACTTATATGGTATAGTGTTTGAAAACTGTTACATTCCAAGATCCATGGAGATGTACAATTAAATATAATTTGAATGTTCAAGTGAAAACAGACCATTATTAATGATAACAATTGGAGAAAATTGATCTGATCGATTCCTTAATTCTCTCAACTGTATTTTTACAATTTAATTACATTTTAGGTGAATGTAAATCGTTACATTATAGCGATGAATGAAAAGTGTTGAATTTTTTTTCAAAAGCCTGTCGTATGTCTTATTTTCATGGAAAACGGTTGGGAAAATTCAAAAATGGTTGGGAGAATTAACTGTTAAAGGATGTTGCACAGTGACGCCTTCAAAGAAAACCATGAATATCTTTGTGGTTTGAGAATTGTTTGCATGTTAGTAGAGTAGAAGCCTAGAAGGAATATAATAAGTAACATTTCATACAAAAATTACGCAGTTTTTTCATAAACCTTCAACAATGTTACCGAGTCACTTTAAAGGGGATGGCTAGGGCGGCGGATCGATGCCCCCTTCTGATGCCCACATGATTTTTTTTAAGGGGGGGGGGGACATTAAAAGAGGGGGACCATAGGGACATAGTTTTCTTTGTCATGAATAGGGGGAGGGTATAAGGAGACAGCGCACTAAGAAGGGGAAGGAGGAGAAGAAACTGTTTATGAAAAGGGGGAAAAGAAAAGACAGACTGACAGAGAGAGAGAGAGAGAGAGAGAGAGAGAGAGAGAAAGAAAGATAGAGAGAGAGAGAAAAAAGAGTGATAGAGAGAGAGAGAGAGAGGGGGGGATCAAGGGGGGGGAGGAGAGATGAATGATAACATAACCACCAAACTATATTGTTACAATAATATGCTACGTTTTAATAATTTATAAAAACCCGCTTTACGTTGTGGAAAACTATACATTTTAGTTAAAAGATGATATTATAGGTCTATCAAAATATTCTACTGTTTTGTTTCAGTATCTACCTCATTGTATACAAATTGATTGATTGATTGATTTTTATTCGACAAGCTTCCAACATACAACAATATGCAATAATAACAGATCCAAAAAAAGTCAACTTGAACAGGATAACCCACGAAAGCTCGAGAGCTTATTTCCAGTAGGGTCCCTTACAGACATGTATAAAATTAATAAGTTAAAATAGTAATATTTACAGACAGATAAGAAAATTAAAAGAACTACTTATTAAAGATAATAATAATAATAACAACATTAAACTGATGATAGAAATGATATTAAGTACAAGAAGAAAAAGAAGAAGGAGAAGAAGAAAAAGAGGAGAAGGAAGGAGAGGAAAATAATGATGAATTTGTAGAATTTCTATAACGTACGAAAACATAAGTATATACAACATGAAAAAGTATGAACCGACAGAAGAATAAAAATTTCAATCATATAACATGTCATTCACTTCTCTTCTCTGACTGTCAAGTATTAGGTATTCCTTTAATTTCCTCTTAAAATGATCATAGTTTCCTATTTCTTTTACACCATTGGGAAGGGAATTCCAATGTTTTATGGCATTGTAATAAAACGAATTTCCAATACTACCTACTCTTTCAGGTAAGTTAAAGTTGAATCGTCTATTTCTTGTATTATAATCATGTACGTCAGTAACAAGATCGAAGTTGGATCGAATATAATGATTCGACCTAGTATGATATATTTTATGCACATGATGCAATACGAGTTGTTTTGATCTTTGGTCGACTTCAAGAAAACCAGCTTTAGAAAGTTCGCTGTAGCCAACATGAGTTCTTGGACCAGAACAGTTGATAAATCTCACCATTTTGTTCTGTATAATCTTCAACTTCTTTCGATCTGACTTGTTTATGTTACTATACCATGCAGGGTTAGCATAGTCAAATAAACATTGAATAAGAGCAAAAACAGAGTGTAGAGTCTATATAACTATGAGAGGCTCTGGTTAAAACTCTATCGGCCCAAGGTGAGCTGCAATAGTGCTATTTTGCTGAGGCGCATAGCCCCGAAGTAAAATAGCACTATTGCACTCACTGTTGAGGGACCATTATAATTTTAATTTAACCCAGAGACTCAAATAAAGGCATATTTGTTTTATATAGTTCATTCATTTTCCTCTATTGCTCCTCGCCTGTGGAATTCCCTCCCATCATCTATTCGCGAAATTGACAACCTTGACCACTTCAAAGCTTCACTCAAAACTCACATCTTCCTACAGACATTTAAATGCTAACTTTATTGGAGGAGCTCGCCCCTTTGAATGTTTTATGAAACAGATAAATGGCGCCATACAAAATATGCTGTGAATCATCATCATATTCATTGATTGTTTAAAGATTTTGCAGTAAAAGTTAAAGAATTCAAGTTGTCTTACCCGCTGTAGCCATTCCTGCCGCCTTGTCATTTCGTGCTTGAACAGTCCAAAAAGTTCAAATTAAACAATAATCATCTGGTAAGTTCCAATCTTCAGCAGTTAAAAAATAAATATTTCAACAATATAACACTTAACATTATTAACATTAAAAATTCCAAATTGGTTTCAAGTTTCATAAATCCTTCACACGTACGTACACGTACACTTACACAATCATGCGCACACTCATAAGTTGCGCATAACAATCTGCGCGAAAGGTCAAATCACGCGGCCAACATTACCCAACCGTAAATAAATAGTCAAAGGAAAATGGGAACTTGTCGAAGGAAAAGGGGCACGTGTGAAAATAAAAGGGGCACTTATCAGAGGTGAAAAGGGGAAGGGGCACTTTTACAAATTAATAGGGGCACTTTTCAAAGTAAAAGGGGCAATATTCCTATTTAAAAAGGGGCACTTCTTACAAAATTAAAGGGGCACTTTTCGGGTGCTTGAAAAAGTGGGGGGGGGGGGCATTTTGCCCCCTCTGCCCCCTCTACTCTTTAACGTGTACACGAATGACCAACCGATCCACCCAAACACCAGGAGCTTCCTCTACGCCGATGATCTCTGCATCGCCACCCAGAACCAGTCTTTTGTGAAGTTGGAGGAGTCCCTCAGTGATGCCCTGGCCGGTCTCATCCCATACTATGCGACCAACCACCTGAGAGCTAACCCTGATAAAACTCAGATAAGCGCATTCCACCTCAAGAACAGGGATGCCAACCATCAACTAAGGATCAGCTGGTATGGGAAAAGGCTGAAGCACACTCCCAACCCAGTCTACTTAGGCGTCACACTCGATCGCTCCCTTACCTACAAGAACCACATTGCCAACACAAAGGCAAAAGTTGGAGCCCGCAACAGCATCCTCAAGAAGCTAGCCAACACCAACTGGGGGACTGATGCCACAACAATCCGGACGACAGCCCTCGCGCTTTGCTTCTCTGCTGCGGAGTATGCATCACCAGTATGGAGTAGGTCGGCCCATGCACCCAAGATTGACCCAGCTCTAAATTCAGCTTGTAGAGCGATCACTGGATGCCTAAGGCCAACTAAAGTAGAAGACATCTACCTGCTCTGCGGTATTGCCCCTCCACACGTCAGAAGGTTGGTCTTGTCCCAGAAAGAAAAGGACAAACAAGAAAACAATCCACTCCACCCACTCTTCGAACAACAGCCAGTGGGCAAGCGGCTCAAATCCAGACACAGCTTTCTGCACTCGGTAGAGCCTCTTAATACTAGCCCTCACAACCAAAGGATGACTTTGTGGTCTAACCACCTTCAGACAACTCCACATAAACTCTCCCTCAGCCCGAAGGAATCCCTCGCAACCGGCTCCAGTGAGACTTGGCCTACCTGGCTTAGCCTCAACCGCCTAAGAACTGGCTACGGTCGATGCAGAGTCCTAATGCAGAGGTGGGGTCTAGGAGACGAACAAACGGCATGTGAATGCGGCCAGGAACAGACAATGGAACACCTGCTAGTCTGCCCACTCCTGCCAGAGCCATGCACCCAAGATGACCTGGAAGCCGTTAATTGCCGTGCCAAAGCCTGTGTGGACCACTGGACGGGACTTGTGTAGTGACTCGATAAGAAGAAGAAGCCCCCCGGGAGGGCTGCCTCTGTGTGACACACTTGTAACCAATCACTGATTATATGAATGACGTATATAACGCTTACCAATCAGTCGGCACATTCCATATTTTTCTACAAAGTTGTATCGTTGCTATCATCTCTAATAAACTGACTCGTTTTCTCGGGGCAATTGTGCTCTCTGATGTGAACACGTGGGGGGGGGGGTATCTCACTGAGCGGCGAATGCTTGAACGGTTGCGATTTTGGATTCGCCAATTTTTCTGACGAATGTTGGCGACTATTTATTTATTTATTTATTTATTTCTAATATTTTGACAGGGTAGCCCATTCACCAACAAGTAGTGGTCTTCCATGGGGCCCTGAATGAACATATTTACATCGTTTAAAACATTTATACAGAACAGTTACAGAAATAATACTCGTTTGCAAAATAAATATAATCATTAACCTAGTAAACAGTAATGTCAATAGGAAAATATTAATTAAGTCGCAATTATGTGAATAAGTCATGTAAATATTACAGAACATGCACGTAGTGTATGTACGGCTGAGCCAGGGTCAGGGTCAGGGTTCAGGGTCAGGGTCAGGGTTCGCCTCTGCGACATTTAGCGACTTTAAGCGATGTTTTGCGACAATTAGCAACAAAGTTGAGCGAATGTTGGCGAAAGTGTTTGCGAAAGGCAGTTGGCGACTACTAGCGACTGTAAGCAAATATTAGCGACAGTCTTTGCGAAGATGAGCAACTATTTGCCAATCCTATTTTGTAATGGTTGTGACCTTATATGCTAGCAAACAGAGTTGACAAATAAAGACTTAACTCCGTTTCGTTGACGATCAGCCATGCACAAAGAAGACGAAAGACTTGATGCATGGCTGGTCGTTAACGACACGGAGTTAAGTCTTTTGTCAACGCTGTTTGTCGCTACGGCGGGCAGCCAGTGAAAACGAATTCGATTGAGGTGTCATAATTATGAAAGGGCAGATAATGAACTTTCTAGAAATGTAATATTCTCTTTGAAATTCAGATACCACCCGCCAAAAAGACTTTTTGGTAACCTCTCTTCAAATTGTTTTAATCACTCATGCGTGAAATATGCATCATATGAGTTGCATCAAACGAAAGAGGGGATCTAAGCTTTACAAATATATGTCATTTATTAAATATAATTGTGATTGAGGTATAATGAAACATCGATGATTCTCGGTTTCTTTTTTTCTGGGACGCACTGTACATATAAACATGGACCTCTCTTTTAGGTTAATGATACAATGAAGGATCTCATCTACCTTCCTTTGAAAGTTTCGAAGATTTTTTTTCCTTCTTCAGAATTCATTTTTTCTAATAACGAGAAACTAAAATATCAAGGTCCACAATGGCCGAGCACTGCGAGCGATGAACCGATTTGATACTCCAAACCCCTGATGTCATCATTCATGATCGAGGACATCATTATTGTTCGAATTTATTCTTTTTTTACTATTCTTTTTCTCTCAATGATGCGAATGTCAATGATCGAAAGAAGGGCATCAATTCCCTCCTCCTCTGGACAAACAAAACAAAAATTGTTTTTCAAACGCCACAATCACAAGGAAGCTAAAAAATACAACATGCAATGGTGAGTGCATTGACATTCAATATACTTTATTCAATAAACAATGCAGAGAACGCAGAGTCGAATTCATTTGAATGTATGATTCGGTTCATGATATGCTTGATTTTCACATGATCTATAAAACAGTAACACGACTGCCCTGCCCTCCATGTTTTGCAGATTGGTCCTCCATCATCGTATGTACTCATCATGTTCCTATGATGTACCAATCGTGTACTCCCCTTTGGCCCTTTCCCCCAAGTCTTGGCCCTCCTGGCTAACTCATTCATGCACCCCCACCCCAGTCCCCCTCGAGCTCCATGTTTTGCTAGGTAGTAAAAGCTTTTGTAAAGGCACCACTGTAATGTGGACGACATCCATTACGCCGACGCGACATTCTTTGATTCATCTGTCGATTTCTGTGTGGCCTTTGGTTGGCTTGGTTTCCTGCTGCTCTTGGTCCGGCTCTGCTGGGCTTCTAGCCTCTGCAGTCTGCGGGTGACCTTCCTCTTAACCTGCTCCAAAGTGAGAGGTTGATCGCTTGTATTCAGTACCTCGGCAGAGGAAGAACACTCGACCGTGTCCACCTCATCTCTGTTGAAATAAAAAGAAATAAAATTGATCATGTTATCAGATTAAACATTGGCGTAGAATGATCCCGGCGGCCACTGAGGGGCCTCTGGAATCATGGGGGGGGGGGGCACCGGCCCGATACCTGGAAAATTAAACACATTTAAAAGGCCATATAGGTGAGAGGGGAGGGCACCGGATGGGGCTCTATCGTCTTAATGTCCCGTCATTTTCCCATTCTCTTATCTCGTTATCACCTTTCGTTCTTTTTCGTTCCTTTCAATTGGGGCCACACCACTGAAATTAAGAGTCCATTTCATGGATAAAGAGGTTTTTTCAGGTTATACTTTCCCAACTTCCCAAACTAGAAGATACGCTCGGGGAGGGGGGTTAGATGTAGTTGTTAAGTATTATTAGAATTGACAAATAAACTTTGTTGTGCCTGGTCGGGATATCCAGGGAGGGGGGCGGATCCTGGTTGGTCTGTTATCTATGTTGCTGAAATGACATGATATTCCGGGGTAATTTTCTCACTTTTTTGTAAATCATTCTTGTTTATGATACCGGATTTTGTTTGCCCCCCCCAAAAGATTTTGCTCATTACGCCACTGCCTGTTGTGCTCACTTACATAACTTTAAGGCCAAGTTCTATCTTTGCCGACAATCTATTATTATGGTATTCGCTGTTATTCTTTGTTGAGTACAGGGAATCGGATGTGAATTTACAGAAATAATTATGATCCATGCATGTACCTGATTGTAGGTGGGTTAATGGTGACCTCAACAGTCTGAACGGGTTCACGCCTCGGCATGATCACACTCCCAGCAGCCTTAGGACCATCTTGATTACCACCCGGTTTATCGTCAGGTTTAGGCATGGTGGATATCTGTGAAATCAAAGCGAAAGTATAAATCGTATAGGCCTAGAAGTATACAAACATAGATTTTTTAGAAATTCTTTTCATTATCTTTTCACGTCGAGATGTTTTAATACTAATACCTAAACTTCTTTTTCTTTCTATCATCGTTTAATGTAGACCCACAGAGTTGAGGTTTTCCACATCATTATACGAGCTGTGAAGTTCACCTGATATTGCCTTTTACTGTTTGCTGATTTAATTGTCCTACTACCGATGCGCACTTCTGTTGCTTCGGTTGCACATAATTTAATCATATAAGTACTATTTTTGTTTAAAAAAATAAGTAAAGTAAAGTCTATCAACTGAATGGACCACACTAGAATTATGACATGTAATTTGAAATCTTGTATGACAATCCCACAGTCTGTAGCATACGATTTGTCTTATTTTCGAAATTCTTAATATTGTAATGATTAAAAATAAAAAATAAATCAACATGCCTTATGTTCTCTGCATTTTTCGATTAGCAGCAAATGATTCATAGTCTGTTCAATCAGACCCAGATAGGCCATGGCATCGAACGCTGTTATGCCGTCTCGGCTTCCTAGCCGACTGGCGACTTGCGATTGGTCGCAGCCCAGTTTTCGGACAATGCTCGCAACTGCAGACATCAGGTGGTGAAGGCGCTTACGAACTTTCTTGACGTTCCCTTCCAGACCGTTAGCCGTCTTGGTGACAGAATTAGCCTTCTCCTGACCCAAAAGGAAATTGATATAAAAATGCAAGTAATATGACTGAGTTGATAGAAAAACCGTAAGCATACATTTCTTAGTACGTGAAAATTCTTTTGAAATAATGACAAGTCTACAAAATGCCATAATCATGATTGTATTGGGGGATCGGCCATAATCATGATGCGATAAAAGCCAGTTGAGTAAGGGGAGTGGGTCTTCTTTTCATGTTGCATTTTCCGTGTCCCTTTCTTTCTCTCTCTTTCCGATTCGATTGGAAGAGGGGAGGGGTCACGGTGTTAGCAATGTTACTGTGTCTCACTACTCGATATAATACAGTCAAACCTGTATATAGCGACCACCCAAGGGAAACACAAAAAGTGGTCTTTGTAGACAGGTTCCTTTAGTACAGTCATGATTCAATGAGAAACCATTTTCAAGGGAAACAAAAAATGTGGCCTTTGTAGACAGTCTTTGTAGACAGGTGGTCACTAAAGCAGGTTTGACTGTATGAACATATTCTTGTTTAGCGTTTTCTCTCACTCACAAAAAAGACCTATAAGACCCTAAAGCCAAAATTTGTCACCTCACCTCCAATCGCTTCACCATGTTGAGCCTTTCTCCCACCAACGTCATACCGTGGCTCTTAAAGTTCTTCCTAAAATTCTCGGTGTTCTTGATCTGCTCTTGAAGAAGCTCGATGTCGTCGTTGACTTCGTTGATGTAATTGAAGAGAGCGAAATTGAGTCCCTCTCGGTAGATGAATTGACGGACGAGTTTGTCGAGGTCTGCTTCGCCCGTAGCCGCTCGGAGCCGAATAAAAGACAGCTCCAGGGTGCATATATTCGCCTCGTCTGGGTCAACATGCCCATGCGCTGGGGAGACAAAAGGAACATTATTAGACGTAAGTCTTAAGGTTTATTGTTTTAAAAGACTTCTTATTAATAGTGAAAACTCTTTTTACCTCGGCACATCATTAGAGATAGAAGTAGATGGAATTTGTTCGCCAACTGCAGCGTATTTAAATGGGGACAGAAACTGGCATACGAACTTGAAGAAGGTGAAAACACCACAAAATAGAGAGGATAAATTAAGGGAATAAGAAGAAAACAATTTTCTCAAATTTAAACTCTAATTCGGGGATAAATGTAGAGGAATAGTGGTTTTAAAACAGTTTCCAAATGCTCCGGCGCTGCCCTCCCTCATAAATTTTCCTTCAGGATCTTGTAATTTTTCTTTATATTCATTATAAAATGATAGTTAATCCTTAGTTTTACAAATGAGTTTTACCATTCGAAAAATAACATGTTTGTACCAGTAATCAAAATATGATTAGTGGTATACAAAATATTTGTAATTATAACAATTTTGTCTAATTTTCCCTTGTGTGTAATTGGATTTTTACAGACGTGTATCAATCAATCAGATTATGATTATTTACGTCTGAGGACCGACCTTTAACGTCACCATCCGAAGACGTTCCTAAACGTATTCATCTTTTAAAAAGATACCACAAGAGCATGTTCGTTACAGAATGACTATCTTACTCTGTTTTCTTCTTTGAAGCTCTTTATTCGTAGCCTTGAGATGTTCAGCCCTATCCTGGGCCTTGACGTTCTTGAACGCTTTCAGCTTCTTCTCATGATCCACAATTCTCTGAAGAGATTTGATCTCGACGTTGAATATATTCTGTTCCTTTTCGTTCCTCTCACGGAGAGCATCCATTTTGTTTTGAGCTTCGTCTCTGCATGGACGTTTCCAAACGAAGAGAAATTGATTAAGACGTGATCAGCATTGGACCAAGACTTTAACTATTTAAAATCGGGCATTAAGGGCTTCGCTTGTGTTTGATGTTCGAAGTTGCATCTTATTCAACACAAATCCTAATAAACTATAGAAATCGCGAGTTAAATTCGTTATTTCTAGTTATACATAATATTATAGTGATTTTGTATCTATCGCTCAGTGCATATTTTCTTCTATAAAAATACTTTTTTTCGTGGCCATCGAACGCTCTTAATTAAGCTACGATTGCGATTAGAAATTGAGAAGTAAATTTTCATATGATTTTAGACATGAGAGTATTACATAAATTGATGTTTCACTGTACTGAGATCAAATCAGTCATTTCAAACATTTTTAATTTTTACTGAAGCCTTTTTTTTTCAAATAGTTGTGTTGACGTTTCATTGCAGCGAATTTTACCTTTTTTCTTATTGACAATAAGAAAAAAGGTAAAATTCGCTGCAATGAAATTTTTTACCAAAGCTTTTTTCAATTTACCAGTACTCTTTTGGAGTTTCCCAGGTCTGAATAATTAATTGCTCGACGCCCTGGGGAGCGTTTCTTGAAACAATTAGTCGGTGGTTTTCACCGACTAATATCATGTTCACCGACAATTCTTTTGTCACCGACTATTTTTCAGGCCTGTGATTGGTCAAATTTAGTCAGCGCTGACTAAATTGTTGGTGAACATGATATTAGTCGGACTAATTGTTTCATGAAACGCCCCCTGGTTTATTGTTTCATTACTACGGACTACGGATGAAGGTGTTTCTGATGTTACCCTGAATCGTATGCCGAGGTAGATTGCTGGATGATGTCATTCATCTCGACCTTGAGGTCACTCTGTTCAGAGCACATCTTCCGGTAGAGACCGTCGTAGGACCTCCCTTCCCGTTTCAGCTCCTCGATCCTGTCTCGTAGATCGCTGTTCTTACGGAGCGCCTTGTTGAAGGTAACTGTGGACTAATTTATACAAAGTCTGTTGAGTCTCACCATGCAATCACTAACTATTATTACTCAGAAACTCGCCAATTATCTGTACACAGCAATCTATCTGATTGTCTTTCATTCTTTGCTATTAAAGATATTTCTGTCCAGCCACATGCAGAGAATAACAAACTCCAGTGAAACGGAGTCAAGTTACTTAGCAAATTTTTCGGTGCATATTATTTTGTAAGATATCAACTTTAAAGACTTTCTCCTCTTACTTAAATTATCTTTTCCGGGTCGCAATTCCTATTCGTTCAACAATGTGCTTGCTAAATAACGGGCATATTAACAATTTGCAGATTTATATTGCCCCCCCCCCGAGATAAAGCGTCTGATCTACGTTATAGACGAGACCCCGATCCTATTATCCAGCTTCCATCTCCTTCAAGCGAGCAGGGAATTATCCTGATTCACCTGACCTGGGTCTAGAGTGGGAAATGCATATTGATGCCTTGCCAAGGGAAATTTGTATGCGGCTAGCTAGCTTACCCGGTAGAGTCTGTTTTCCATAACTCTGGTTCGCTTGGGAGCATTAAGCTGGTAACGAATCATCTCAGATCGGCCTTTAGTCTCCATATGGTACTTCCTCTGGGCTCCTTCAAAGATCCGTGCCTAACCGACATAGCAACAGAATAGCACTTAATGTACATGTACTTACTTATTCCTTTTAAAATGCTTTTATTCGTAAATTCATTCGCAGCCTGTGAATCGAAGAGCAGAATTTCTTTCTTTTAAAAGAAATTAGGCCTGGCTATATCACAGACGTAATGTCAAAGCAAAGATACATGTGGTCAACATGATTATGGTATAGTTATTCAGTAAGAATAGTATAATAACGTCCATTTTAAAAACGTGTCTTACTCGATTGATCAAAATTTGATATAAATAAAATACATGGAAGATGTATTTGATAAGTTTCACGAATTTGGTAATAAGAACAGATTAACGAATAAATCTATTTTTTAGCATTATGGGATAACAATAAATTGGTATAAGAAATAACTCTCATTTTACATATCTTCGGGTAGTTCAGGATTTTTGATAAAGTTTTGCAGGCTACATATAGAGAAAAAAAAGGAAGAACCACAATTTCCCAAGCCCCCAAAAATCATTATTCTAGAACTTTGCCTACATACCTGTTTATCTAACATACGAATCTCTTCCTTCTCACTGAGACAGAGCGTTTTATACTCGATGTAGTTCTGTAACAGTGTCTTCATGAGCCCTTCGTCAATACCATCCTTGCCACACACTTTAGTGCTGGTAGCGAGACGTAGGTCCATGTCCATTTCTGATCGTTCATCCTTTAATGATTTGATGTGACCACTTTTGTACATGACAAAGAAGAAGAAAAAAAATATTTTGTCCATTTCTGATCGTTCATCCTTTAATGATTTGATGTGACCACTTTTGTACATGACAAAGAAGAAAAAAATATTTACATGCAGTTTATCCAGGGGTGACGTCTCTTGCCCCCCTCCCCCATCTCCTTGACGCTGTCCCTTAATGATTATTAGTTCATTAGACACTAGACTAGACCCCCCTTTTTTTTTGGGGGGGGAGGGGGTGATACAGTCTTACAATTTATAATCTAATGAGAGATACAAAGCATAACAAAGGAGATCCTTTGCCCCACTCTCTGTTTCTTTCTCCGTCTCTTTCTCCGTCTCTTTCTATCTTTCTGTCTTTTTCTCTCTCTCAATATAATATGGTGATGTGACCTTAGTCCTTAGTTCACTATCTCAAGAAATAGGTGAGAATCGAAAATCTGATACGAACCTAAGATTACTAAGAGTCGAAATTTTGTATGGAATGGTTGGGTGAAATTATGAAAATATTGACAAAAGATCGGCAAGTTTTGCAGTCTTTTGCGTCCTTTCCGAAAAAATATGATTTTTTTTAGTTGCACCAATAGTAAAGATCTTTGCCGTACATTTGGTAATACTAGGCCTTGATCTAATTATAATAGACAAGATTCGTGTAAAATATGAGAAATCATTGATCGAATATCACATTTCCTAATATTTTTAAATATCTCCGCGAACTTTGGTCACCCCATTCATAGGTCTAAGTTAGACCTAGTGGTGTCAGGTGCCAAAAAATAGTTTTAAAATAAAGATGGTAACAACAAATTTATCTTTTTCTTTTCTTTTTCTTTTTTATTTAGTGCTCATACTACACCCCCCCCCCCCACATCGTATCTAACTATGATGAATGTAATCACTAACTTTTGTTTCCGGATGATGTTTTGCGACTCCTCAAGATATGACCTTTTTTGGCCCTTGAGGATGCGATATTCCCGGTGCAGTTTACCCAGCTCCTGCTCGGCCAATACGTAATCCGCCTCAGCATCCCCGTTCATGCTTGGAGTTTCCACTCGACGGCGGTTCATTGATGCAACTGCCGCCATCTTTGCAAATTAATTTAAACGCTGATGATTTTCCCTTTATTTTGCAGATTATTTTTTCAGCATGATTTCGAAAGGTTCATTGATCATTTTTCGCACTCAAATGATCACACTGAAAATTAAGCGCAGTGGGCATTGTTTTTCTGCGCGTAGCTAGTCCTCACAAAGAAAGGCGCGCCTTATCACACTGCGCAGTGATATTGTTACGCTGACGCTTACATACGATCTGCAGCTCAGAAAAGTAATTACTCACGTACATTCAAAAGTTATCTAAAGTGTTGGGAGCCCCAACAAATTTGATGGCGAAATTTCACGTTAATTGTATCATAATGTGAAAGAGGATGTCATTTAAAACACATTTCTGCAAGCATTTTAAAAATAAATGTGTTTGAAGACGAATATAGATAAAAGAATACATAATTTGGGTTTTCTGTTATATACCCAGAAAACCTAAATTTTGTATTCTTTCATCAATATTTCTATTTGTCTTCAAACACATTTTTTTTTTTTTTTTTTTTTTTGGGGGGGGGGGAGGATTCATTGCAGAAGAACACTTTAGTGGGGCTCATGGTCGAATATTTGTATACGAACAGGAGCAATGAAAATGGACCTACACCTTACTCCAAACTTCTGATTAGTCCAACGATATATCCAGAGAATTCAGTAAGATAAAAAGGGAAGTAGGGAAAGAGAGAGGGAGAGAGAGAGAGAGAGAGAGAAGAGAGAGAGAGAGAGAGAGAGAGAGAGGAAGGGAGGAAGGGAGAGAGATGGATAGAGAGAGAAAGAGAGGGGGAGATAGAGATAGAGAGAGGAAGAGAGATAGAGAGAGAGAGGGTAAGGAAGAGAAAGATAAAGAAAAGTAAAGTGCAGCAGACTTTAGAGCGTTTCATCATCTTTATCCTTTTTTTTTCTCTTCAATGATTTTAATAATATGACATATTTAAAAATATTGTTAATTCGTTGGTTTATTGTCAAATTCTAAGTATTTTAAGTGAGTTTTACCGGCGCTTACGTAATATGCTCTGTTTCTGAAAAGGCATATCTCTCTGCAAAAATGCTCACCTTTGAATCCCACTCTCCATATTCCTCTCTCATTTGCACATTTACCTTTTTTTTGCAAAGTCAATCCAGAGCACGATCAAATGAATCTTAAGAAACCAACCCAAGGCAATTCAAATAACATTGTTTCATACTAAAATTTGCGAAGGGCGAACGTAACAGCGATATACATGCATTACTTTGCCTGACCATGGTCTCTATTTTAACGGCAATACAATAGTGTATAGAAATTGATTTTTGTTTTGTCCTTGCAATTCTGTTCAAGACGTCTCTCTTTTTCACTCCCTCTCTCTTTGGCTCTTCCATTCCCTTTCTCCCTCTCCCCCTCTCTCTCTTTCACAGCCTTTCTATCCCTTTCTCTTTTTCACTCTGTTTCTCTCCCCCCCTCCCCTCTCTCCCTCTCCCATCACCCTTTTATATTATTCTCATAATTCTTCATAACCTTGTGCATAGAGAAGTAGGCTCTTAGCTGAACAATGAATTACTGTCGATAAATATATATTTCAAATATCAATCTATTAAATATCTTCAATACATGAATCCCATTTGACTTTATCAGTGCGTTTTGTCATTGGTTTGTCACTTATTATTATATTATTCTCATAATTCTTCATAACCTTGTGCATATAGAAGTAGGCTCTTAGCTGAACAATGAATTACTGTCGATAAATATATATTTCAAATATCAATCTATTAAATATCTTCAATACATGAATCCCATTTGACTTTATCAGTGCATTTTGTCATTGGTTTGTCACTTTGTAACTAAAACAACCTGCTATATATTTCTATCAATTGCTTTATCTTACTTTTGACCTTGTTTTAATTCAGTCCTTCATCTAAAGTATGTTTGAAATAAAAAAACACAAAAGCATTTTAAAACAGATTATTGTTAAATAAGGCCTTTATTCAAAACACTGAAAAATTTTGATGATAAATTTCACAAAACGACAGAATAAATAAATGCTATAAAATCTTACAAATATTTACACGCATATTTACATTACTATTTCTGATAGTTCATTGGAATGTTTAAATTTTCAAGGCATAACCCTACCTTGAGCCATAATAAAAGTCTCTTTTAATATCAGTCACATGTACCCACTCTATGTATTACAAGAACAGTTAATTGGCACAAATAGATCATGTATCTTATGATGTGTTTTAAATTATGATAAAAACGATAACATACATGTAACTATAATTTTTTGCTTACTTGCTAGATGAATAAAAAATTGTGATACTGTAGTGAGCACAGTAACCGAAAGTGAACACTAAATACAGTTCTCCTAAATGTATACTACCTTATTATTGCCATTTTAGCAAGGTGAAATTGAGAAATTGACAAAAAACTAAATACGCAATGAAGTTGACGTTTTATAACATCGTGCTTGAAACACTTTGATAGTTCGGTGCATAATTAATCAACTTAAACTATCAAACAATAAAAATTCAATTTACACTTAAAACTGTCATTTAAAGAGAAGATGTATTTCCGGGACAGGTAAACAATAATATGCGAGCTTCATCTTTGACCTCTTGAACCCCAACATTCCTCAGTTCATTTTTTCACACTCAGGTCAGGTCAGGTCATCTAAGAGGTTTGTATCTTTGCGTTGCTATGTCAGGCGAGTTCATGAACATCGCTGGCAAATCTTCCATCAACTTAATGTCATCAAACTCCTCAGTTCATTTTTTCACACTCAGGTCAGGTCATCTAAGAGGTTTGTATCTTTGCGTTGCTAGGTTAGGCGAGTTCATGAACCTCCCTGGCGAATCTTCCATCAACTCAATGTCATCAAACTGCTGCAGATGGAACTTCATCACCTGGTGGTGGGTCATCCGCTTCAGGGCAAAGTAGCCCCCGACCACGTCGAAGGCGAGGAAGGATAGGAAGATGATGTGGACCGCTCGCTCGATGGGAAACGGCATCGCTCGGGAGTCGATGAGGAGGTAGAGGATGAGCGGGAACTGGAGGATGAGCGTCAGGAGCCAGAAACCTGCCAGCTCTGGAACCTGCGTAAGAAAAGAAAGAATAAGAGTACGGTAAGTTTTTTGGAGGCCATGATCTGATCCGATATTTAATTAACCAAAAATGAAATAGGATTAACATTGACTGGATTTTACTTGAACATGGGTCAACAACACATCTTATAACAACTTGATGTTAATTATATAGATTTGTACATTCAAAGCAACCATTTATACACATAGAGATGAGCAGTTAACCTAAAGCTTGAAAATATACATAAAAGCTACATTATCGAAGTAATTATATCTAATTTGTAAAATCAAAAGATCTCTGAAAACAGGGGATACAACAATTCATAGCAAACCCTAATATCTAGTGGTGTAAAGTGCAAGGAGGATTTTGGGGTAGGGGGATGTGTAAACTAGCAGAACATCCAAGCTACCTCTCCCTTCTTTTAAGAAAAAAAGGAAAGGATAAGTACGCAGAGATTTAAAAAAAGTTCAGGAATTTTGTTGCTAATTATCCTGACACCCCCTTCTCAATTGAGCAAGTCTGGGAGTGCAGATAGATTCCTAAATCATGTTCCTATGGGAAAATTACCCCCCCCCCCCCCCCGCTCCAATCAATCCTGGATACACCCATACACATGGCATCGATCAATGGTCATACGACACATGCTCCTAAGACAATTGCTCCACAGAAATGTCATACACTGACCAAGTCCTGACTTCAACCCTGGATCCAAAACTTTACCTACAAAATAGTATGTGTAACTAATCTAACCCAAAACCTAACTAAAGGTTAAAAACCTGCATGCAACCCTAACCCTAAACTTTTGACCGAATAGAGCAGAGAGAAATGTTGCTAGAGCAGATGTCAGATCGCCCAATCATTAGCTTACCCTTTCCTGTAGGTTGCCTAGGTAACCAAGGTAGAGTCTGATGACCTCCACACCGGTCAGTACCACATACATGGTGATGCTGATAAACTGATAGATCTGATTCAGATGGGCAAACTGAAGCCACGGATGGGAAAAGAGAAAGAGAGTCAGAGAAAGGGAGGGAGGGGGAGAGAGAGGGATGAGACATGGAAAAATTAGGTAAGTTTGGGATATAAATCATATATTTTTTTTAAAGCCCCACTACACTACTTATAGCTACTTGTGCCTAGCTACTTGTGCCATCTTTATAGCAAACAATGCCTAATCGGTGACCATTGGTCCCCCATGATCCTCTTTTTCTTATGTTAATTGATAACCACCTGTCAGTGACCAATGACCATGCAGGGAGGTCTAATCCCTCCTGGCCAAAATATAGCTATCAGCTTAGTTTGAAATTTCCAGTTGTACAAGAAATTTAAGGTGACTTTGGGCTCATTTGCATGCAGCAGTAAAACCATGGGTGTTTTTGTGTATTAAATGAATGGCAAGTGTAGTTGAAAAAAGTAGCTGAACCCAACAAAAGTCCTATGTATACTCACTGATATGTGTGTTATAAGATGCACAAATTGAAAGCCTAGTACAATAAGCCACCCCCCCCCCCCCCCACCTCCTTCTTCACCATCAAATAGTCTGCAAGCACAGATTCTAATTTGACACTTTACCACAATTCCTACAGCCTTGAGTAGAGCCTAGATCTTCCAGTCTCTAGCCTTGTCCAGAGCAGGTTAAGTACAGGGCCTATTGCAGTCTCATTTTGCAGACACTGTTACGCCCAACTTCTAACAAGAGTTTCGGCCCGCAAACTACCCATAAACAGCTACTGTGTACTGCAGCAATTGTGAGCAGAACCTTTATTGGTATAGTTTTGAGCCAACGAGTTATGGATGGTAGGAGAGATCACTAAGATGGATACCTTTAATTGCAGCATGACAACACAGGTTACAACCCAGATCGGGAAGAAGAAGGCATTGAAGTAGAGAGAAACCTGGAGAGGCAAGCTGGATACTAACTCATTTCCTGCAATAAACAATAGAAAAATATTGATATTTAGTATGCTAAATGCACATTTCCATATATATCTCAAAAAAATTGATAAGAGTTTGAAAATCTGAAAAACATCAAGGCAAAGAGGCACCAAAAATTAGCTTTTGACAAAAGATCAGCATATCTTTCTGTATTTTGTATTTATTTTGAATAAATATGAACTCAATGACAAGGGTCAGGAAATCTTAATTTCGAAAATTCAAAACTGAAAGAAAAGTATGATAGACCTACCAACTGACAGTTTGATATTTTATTTTACATCTGGTGCAGTTAACTTGCCTTTGACTTTTATAGGTCAATATTTGGGATAAATCTGCTGTAAAATGACGTTTAGACTTGTTGTTTATATAATTTTATTTAATTTGTAGTGCATTGCATTCTGACATAATATTTTGTGATCATAGCTTAAAAAAATGTCTACCTACGCCAACTAGAACTTTCTTAAATCATGATTTTTGCTTTCAATTTGGCATGGTATTAATTGATTTGAATAAACTTTTGTAAAAAACATCTACAGGAAATCATGGATCAAATTTTGCAATCCTTAAGTAGATCCTAGAATGATATGAAGATAAAAAGTACAAGTGGGCGGAAAGTTTGGCACCCCATCATCTTTAAATTCTTCATATTTCTCAACCCTATACAGGCTCCTTCAGAACACACATAGAAACACATAGAGTGCTAACTCTAGGGAGCTCCACCGCAGAAGGTGACAGAGCTCCAGAGCCTGCATACAAAAGCGAAACAGCGGGTTGCGTCATATTCTTTCAAAATGTAAATAGACCCAAGTATTATTAGGGTGTCTGATCGCGCACTCTGTTTTGTGTGCTAAAATCCTTCCCATAGAGATTGCACACATCCCTATGCAGTCCATGTGCATTGCGTGCTCATGCTAAATTGGTCGATGTTTTTATTACCAAAATGAGATTCAAACCAATATTGCTCGTGATCCTGAAGGTGATACTCAATAAGTGAGGTGTCATATGAAAGAGCAGGTTTTTCTCCATATTCCCCATAGGAGCCCACCCCCACATTTCTAAAAATATCTTGCTCAAAACAGCGATTTAAACATTGTTTCCATGGTAACTCGAAGATTTACCAATTTCACGAAGTGCTCCCACGAGGGATAAGTTGGGCCAGCTGTAAAGAATATATCCATGCCAGGGAAAAATCAATATTTCTTTTTCTGAGGCTACTTTTCAAGCTTGCCTGCATGAAAATAATATTCTAAAATTTGTTTTACATTGAACTCTATGCAAATTTACAGGGCTCTTTTCTGATTTTCGGGGGCTCTATTGGGCATTTCGGGGGCTATTTTGCCCCGAGCCCCAGCATATTTTTTTCACTGATCCATGCACTTATTTTTTCTCTAGTCCCAAGGGATGACAAGCAGTTTCAGTTTGAAAATACCCTTACTTCACGCTTTGCATATCGTGCTGTGCATTAGCTGTGCAGCTTTTGAGCAAAATTATACCTCTGCGTGAACAACTTTTTTGTGCATTCTGACCAAAATGCTATGAATATTGCAGAGTTTTTGAGGGGCTGTATCTTTTGATAGAAACATCGGTGAGTCTTGATATTTGGGCGCTTGTTCAGAAACCTATCCAAAATTTGACCCGTAAGTCCGGCGTGGAGATACCCTACTAAAACATACCCAAAATGAAGTAAATATTCATTAAATGTCCAAATAAAGATCATGACTAAAAGTCGTTATGTTCATTACCTGTTTTGTGTCAATTTTCATGTTGTTTTTTTTTAGTATTTTTTGGAAAAATGTTGATATTAGTATACACTTTTTCACAGGTTTCACAGAAAACCGCTGCACAATACAAGTGCATACCAAGGGTGGGTTGCACAATTGCACCCCTCAACCCAGGATCAGTATGCACTTGTAATACTACTAGTCGTAGAAGTCTATTCTGCAGCGGTTTGCCGTGAAACCCTGAAAATGTCTATATGAAGGGGTAACCAAAGTTCGCAGATATTTTTCTTTTCTTGCACATTACAAAACATCCAGATCAACATATATCGTGTTCCATACGTCATAAGAATCGTAATTTATCATATAATCAGATTATATAACATTCCAAGGCTGTATTTACTTCAAACCAATGATAGGACGAGAATATCGGAAGGCTTACCACTATCGAAGTCTGTCAAAAAGTGTGACCTAAGTTCACGCATGATATTTACTGCCCTCTTGTGATGGGCGTTACATATTTAAACATTCCAAAAAGGGACATAAATTTCAATCAGAAGCCAAACTCTATATTAAAACTTTTAAAAAGATAATAATTTCTCTCTATCATTGAGATTTTGCTCGAAAAAAATACCCTTGTTAAATTTTGCAAATAAAAGACAATACTTTTCATTTTTATGTGTTCATGACAATGTAGACTAGTCTCTATCTGCATGTTATTTGTTTGTTTAAAAAGTTTATCATGTGTCTCCTTTTTATATGTCAGCCATACACAAGTTCTCGCTCTTTTCTCTCTTTGTCTCGCCACTGTCCCGTTTTAAATTTGTATTCTTACGAAACCCATAGATTCATTGAAATTTACAAGTACGGTGGAAGCAGGCGCGCAGGTTCCGTTTTTTGTGTAAGAAATTTGAATTTTATCATTATTTTTTTAGAGTCAATCCTTCAAATAAACTGGCATTTATATTAAAAAAAAAAAAAAATTGTTATGATAAAAAGTGTGAAAAAGCTAGCTTATCACATTTTTATGTCGCATTTTAACCTTCGGAGTTGTCGACGGTGCTCAAAGATTTTGTTGTCTCAGTCCCACACAGGCATCGTGTAACGTTCTCCTGTTATACGCACTTTTAGTGTTAGTACGTGAACTTTGGTCACACACAAACTTTGGTCACACCACTCCAGCAAAGCACAGAGAGTCAATGCCAATGCGTATTAACCTCTAGCACTGCATGCTTGCTGTGAGGCGGGTATTTTTAGACCCACACACAAATACACACACCACACAATATTGCATGGACTGTACCCAATCATGTCGATGCAGCTGTAAGTGTAAGCAAAGTTTGACACTAGACTTACAATTTGAATTTTTAAATTATTCTTTTTAACATCAGTAGATCTAAGTTTTAAAAAAATGTATTTTACTGCTATTTAGGTGTCATCAATTGTCACTAAAGTACTGATTTTGAGTGAAATCAGTTGAGTTTTGTACAGTGGTGTTTGATATGTTGAGAATCAAAAGCACAGCTTTTACTACACAGCCAGGATATAGTGATGCTCCTATGTGTGGGTCACACCACCATACTATTATAGACCTAATCGTTTTTCCGAAAAATACTCCAAAAATAACAATAAAATTGACACAAAACAGGTAACATAATATACAAATAACGCACGGCCCAGAGTGCAATAGCGGTGAATGCAGTACGCGCGAGGTTTCTTTAGATTGGTGCCGCTCTGTGCAACGAGCCGCTTGCGGCGAGTTGACAGTGCGAACCATCTGAAGAAACCGAGCATTTACTGCATTTACGTTTTGCACAACAGGGTCAAGTGCGTTATTTGTTTTATAAAATAGCGACACAAATAGCAACAAACGAAACTTTAGATCTAATAAGTTAGAGTCTACGAGAGTTCGATCTAGATCTAGATCTAGAGTTATGTTGGTTCTACTTCTAGACTAAGACCTTGCAGGCTTACCAAAAAGTCAATGGGATTCATTGCCTTGATTAAAAATAAAATCCATACAGTGGGTCTAGAGACGAGTCTACATCAGACAGCTGAAATTCCTGGCTTCATTATAAAATCCAAAAGTCAAAACAGGCCTAAATCCAAGGCAAAAGTAAAATAAAAATTTGCTTTTTAATAATACCCCGCTGGCGCTGGCCGCTCTGATCTAGCTAGTTAGCTAGAGCTAAGCTACGCGTACGTTGCGCTGGGGATCATGGTGGAGCGTACAATATTAGCTACGCGTAGCCTACAATAATTGCAATGCACTCGAGGGAGCGCGTACTACACGTACGCGCGCGCACTGGATCTCCATGGTCACGTACGCGCCGTGCAATATAACTTTTTGTTGCGCTTTTTCTGCACTCATTTCTGCAAAATAGTGCTTGCATCCAAAATTTGTCAATGTCATGTGACGCGTATTGACCAATCACGATGCTTAAAATACTAGAGCCATTTTATAACAACTTTTAACTCATGATCTTTATCTGGACATTTAATGATTATTTAATTCATTTTGGGTATGTTTTAGTCGGGTATCTCCACGCCGGAATTAAGGGTCAACTTTTGGATACGTTTCTGAACAAGCGCCAAATCGTTTTCCTATGCAAGCTTTGGAGCTCCGAGTTTATAGAGCGCGAGATTTTTAGTCACCTATCAAGTATCATAGTTCATACAGCAAACACAATGAACAGTGCATGGGGCTTAATCGTAAAGTTTCAGCTTCGTAACAAATGATTTCTCACCTGGTCTTAACATGTGATGCTGACGTTTTACAGCATTTCGTGTGGGAAATACAGCTTCTGTAAAAGTCGTGAGTTTCTGCCTCATATAATCACCAGCCATGTTGACTCTTAGAGACCTTCACTTGCTTTTCGACTTTTATTTTATTTTCAACCGACGGCGACGAACAAAAATATTTATGGTGTCTTCCACAGTACAAAATAAAATGATAATATCTGAAGGGTGCATATCGTTTATAACAAGGAAGTGCTTGGCTCATTTGAGAGCGTCAACATTTTTTTTATTCATTAGATCTCATTAAAATTCAAATGTTATAAATGCTTCCAAATTGTTCATCAGTTAGTAGAAATAAACATCAGTTTAAGCTTTATATCTATAGGCCTTCATTTCAGTTTAAAACCTTGATACATGAAGAATCTTAACGATATATTTTGCAGTAGTCAGTGGTGTAGTTAGCCAGACATTTTGATGGGCCTGAGCTATAGTAATAATATTCTCAAGCACCAGGAACACAATAACACAACTCGGGGAATAATCCTCCCCTTCCCGCGACTAAGAAGACGTTGCATCTCAAGTTGTATTCGCGATTTTTTTTTTCCTACAAATTTTTGTATTTGATTTTGTGTCACTCTGTATGTCAACATATCATTTAAGTTATTCCCAATACTTCTCTCCAATTTTAATAATACTGGTAAATCAAGAAGCATGACAATGTCGATCGTGGAGTAAATGTGTGCACAATTTTATTCACAAAATGCTTGATTTGGCCAAAATAGTTATTAATCATGCAAACAATAGCTAATTATTAGAACACATGGCTACTATTTTGTATTAGCTACACGAGCTAGAAGGGATTAGACCACCCAGCCACGTCACTGACAGGTGGCTATCTCATCAACTCAGCTCTCAACTAACATAAGAAAAAGAGGATCATGGGGGACCAACAGGCACCGATTGGGGAAGTTTTCTATAATAGAGGGAGGCAAGTAGCTACAAGTAGGACAGTGGGGCTTCACATGAATTAACGCATTATACACATTATTATCAATTTAAGGGGAAATACAATTTTTCAACGATCCGATAAAGAAAAAGGAATATAATTTATCAAATTAATCTAGCCTCCATGCGAGAGTCTTCCCCCCCTTTTTTTTTTGCAGTTTATGAGAAAATATAAATAGATATTCCAAGAAAATTTGTTATCAGACCTTTTCCTAAATACATATTTTGGCACATCACACCCCTCTTCATCAATAATCATAATGAACGCCCCAGTTTTTGGTTTTAGTAAAAAGAAAGGGGAATAATACTCGAAAGACAAATCACAAAGTTGCCAATCTGCGTTCAGATTTTTTTTTTTTTTTTTTTTTTTTTTTTAAGTCGTGAATTTCTTAGTCCGTTTCGGATTCTCATCAAACTTTCACTAATATGCAAATCTTTTATTCCTGGATTTTTATTGACAATATAAGTGGACGAGATGGGGCCAGACTGCCGCAGCCCCCCCCCCCCCTCCCCTCCCACTCCCGGATTTTCCAATATTATGGCAACCACAAATATTTTGGCTCCCATGAACAGATATCCACATTTAAGCAGCGAAATGACTGAATAGTCTCATCTTTGGGCAACAATTAGTGCTTGTAAATTTTCATATTGAAATGAGTTAGAAAAAATAATCTATGTCAGGCAAAAACCACCAGCCCCCCCCCCCCCCCCCCCTATTCCCTCACGCATCCACTACAAAGATATCCTGCTCACATTTAAAGCAATCCATGGCCTTGCTCCTACTTAGGCCTACCTATCCGAGTTGATAGCCCAATATCTACCAACCAGATTACTCAGATCTGCCTCGCAAAACCTGCTAGTAGTAAATAGGAGTAGAGCCAAATCTTTCGGTGACAGGTCCTTTGAATGTGCTGCACCAACCCTTTGGAACTCTCTTCCTGGCACTCTCCGTGCTCAGTCAAACATATAATAGTAGCTTCTATTAAAGGTGATACATGTAATATAATATTTGAAAATTATTATAGTGGTGAGGAAGGCCCAATACAACAATATAAATAAAAATAAATAGATAAATAAACATCCTGCTTTTTGCGAGATTCATTGAAAAACTCTTCATGGCATTATGCTACGCATTCAGTCAGTCACAAAGATGGTACAAACCAGTGCAAAATTAAAATGAAATGTTGACAAATATGTCTTGTGTTCTTTCTGGAATACGGCTTAGCAAGAAAATTGTGCACTTTTTGAGAAAAGCATGAAACTTCTAGCATAGTTTGCTTTCACCATAAGATTTATTTTCAGATGTGGAGGGAAGTCAGATTTGACCTCTGATGACGTTGAGAGGTCAAATCCAAAATGGCCGCTAGTCCGCATGGTCTAATGTACAAACACGCTTAACTTTTGAACCAAATACACCAGAAAAACGTTTAAGGTGTCATTTCCAACTAACTTGGGGATACCAATTCATTTGGTAATACTTTTGAGATCACCTGAACTCAGGGTTTTGCATTTAGGTCAAGGTCAAGGTCAAAATTGACTAAAAAATAGCAAGTTTTGAATAGTTACAAAAGGTTAAATCTCATTTATTTGTCATTTGTTCTCAAATATATTTAGGAATGGTTCACCTGCATAGTCCACCACCTTAATTCTTTTCAGGTAGTTTATTTTACAGTTTGATTTGACCTCTGATGACCCTGAGAGGTCAAATCCAAAATGGCCGCCAGTCCGCATGGGCTAATGTACAAACGCGGTAACTTTTGAACCAAATAGTCCCAAAAAACGTTTAAGGTGTCATTTCCAACTAAATTGGGGATGCCAATTCATGTGGTAATACTTTCGAGATCGCCAGAACTCAGGGTGTTGCATTTAGGTCAAGGTCAAGGTCAAAATTGACTAAAAATAGCAAGTTTTGAATGGTTACAAAAGGTTAAATCCCCATTATATATATATGTCATTTGTTCTCCCCTATGTTCTAAAATTTATTAAGGAATGGTTCCCCTGCCGAGTCCTCCATCTTAATCCTTTTCAGTTAGTTTATTTCACAGTTTGATGTGACCTCTGATGACCCTGAGAGGTCAAATCCAAAATGGCAGCCAGTCCGCATGGTCTAATGTACAAACGTGAACTTGAACCAAATAGTCTAGAAAAACGTTTAAGGTGTTATTTCCAACTAACTTGGGAATGCCAATTCATTACGTAATACTAAGAGATCGCCAAAACTCAGGGATTTGCAATAAGGACAAGTTCAAGGTCATATTAGGTCAATAAAGTGATGTTTTCTTTTTTTAAAATAAACTTTGCCTCTATTTTGAGACTTAAGGGGCCATTATTTTATAAATTAATAAAAAGACCCGTGTACCACCACTTTGATTATCCAGGGCAAAATTGTATATAGCTGCTTATCGGCTGGTCCTGTGCTTACGTATGAGTTTCTACTTCATAGCACTGCTAACCGTAAGCACACGAAAGTGGATTAACCTTACGCTGCTTACTGGACGAAAATGAATTTTGTAACAATGCACATTCATTGTGAACGCACAAGGTGGACGCCTTGTTTTCTTGCTAACCAAATGTGTCTGCTACAGTTATAGCACGAAAATTTACAAAAAAGCTATTCCAAATACGACCTAAAACCTGTTCATTACCATAGCTATAGAGTATAGATATCCACATGTATTTAGCACTGTCCACAACTTATGAATATCCTAATGGTAACGATCAAAATCTAACAGTCTCCAGAACAAGAGCACAATATTCAGTGCATCCTTTCTTGCAGCGACAGTGGATTACTCATGGCACAATTTTGATGCTTCCGGGAGAGTGGTCCAAAGAGGTTGCCACCCAGTTTCGTTTGTCCAGCCTAAGTCAGATGGCTCTGGCATCTCTGGATTCTTGGCCAATATCTGGTTCCAACAGTCGGCCTGGTAGCAAGTACGCTTGAAGTGCTGCTTGAGTGCTGCCTGGGTTGGACGAATGTTCTCCAGGTTTCTAGACTTCTGTGCGAAGAGCTGTTTCCTGGCATCATTCACTAGGTATGCTCTCACTGGTTCGGTCGTATCAGCACCACAAATCGCTCTGGCAGTAACATTGATCCTTCACTGACCGCCCTAGACATGTACAGGAGTTCACTGAAGGAATCATTCACCTCTGGGAAAGACTTCTAAGTTTTTCCTCTGAATGCAGAAACAGTGTGACACCCGGTGAACGCATGAAAGATTGGGAGAGGCATACATCGTGTCGGACTCATGGTGGCGACCATCATGATTTTGTGAAAAGCTATGTACCGAAAGCTTGATCTGACACCAAAAGCGATCCAGCATCAGGAGCTGTCTTGCTGAATGAAGCCACGGCCAGTTCAACCGCATCAGTACCAACAGTACTTATGGTTACCCTTTTACACCCATGGGGCAAGGCCTGCTAAGTGTGACTCAGCAGGAGAGCAGAGTACTCCACTTCCATCTGTTGCATATTATACAGTTCCTTGCCCTGTGGTAGAGGAAGATGAACGACTTCGCATGACATGAAATCAAACAATTCGGTTTTGTTCTCATTGACTCGAAGGAAGTCCTTCAAGCTTTTTGGCAGCAAAGTAGAAGGAGCCACCCTTTTCCTGGTCCCCTTTCCCCTTTCCTGCCTTATTGAGGCTTTCAGGCTAGCAGGTAAGTATACACCCTAGTCAAGGTCGATGCGGATGCTTTTCTCGAGTTGAGCAAAGATGTATGGGAAAAACACTCTTTCTCCATACTCTTGAAGTGTTCTTGATGTTCCAGGATTGAGCATTTGAACCACAGCTTCACCATCAATAATTATTGCTTGGGCCACAGGTGCACTATTGTTTTCGAGCAGATTTGATTCCAGGCAGCGAAGTAGATCTGCTTGAACTCCAAATCGCATTTCCTCCAGTTAACATGCAAAGCTGGCGGGGCTGCCTGGTTTTCATGAGAGAAGATATCTCCATCCCTTGTCTGACACGAGATGTACATCCTGAAAAAGAGACCACGTACAGTCACTATTAGGTGCTGCAAGCTGTGCCTTCTGTTTTAACATAACCTTCGCCGGCTGCCGACTGAAAAATGGCAACTTGTTCGTATGAAGTGTTTGTGTGACAGGTGTCGTACACTGCTCTAGCCTTTCTGTCACAAACTTTGTGTACTGCTCCTCACCTAGGGTCTCAATCCTTCT